TTTACTAAATTATTTTGTTACACTGCTACAGTTTTGTTTCTTGTTTAGAGGAAGAAAACTCATTTATGCAACACATTTGGCATTTTCACTGTTTTATTGATTAAAATGGGCATTTTTCATATGAACTTCGCACTAGAAGTGGTTTAACATAGACTTTTAGTATCACAGCCATGATTTAGTCATTATTTGTTATTGAACCATATCAAATTGTTTTGAAATATATCGTATCAAATCGAAAGTGCACTGTATTGAGATATGTATTGTATTGTGGCCTATGCATCAAGGTATGTATTTTATTGGCAACTTCTTAATGATGCCCAGCCCTAGTGTTTATAAACTCACTGAGGTGAATAATTAAGTTGCTCAGAATGCATAAGGTAAGTGAGGAATAACTTTGGACCACTGCAAACTGTTTAAAGGCCCTACACAAAATTCATTCTTGTGAGCCACGTGCCATTATAATTTTGTTACCTCCACTTAAAACATGCCTGGAGTTATGTTTTTGTTTCAGTCACACATGTCTGAATAATCCTTTATAAGTCTGACTACATCTCCAAAGCTCAAAATGCTCTGTTATACACTTTTACTTTTAGTTCAGTAGAGACTGGCAATTCCAGGCCTGAAATCATCTAAATGATCGCAATGAAAGCACATGGAAAAACACAGTGGAGCACTTCCTGTATTACCACATAACACGACAAGGTAGAACAAACTGTTTTCTGTATATGAGAAAATAACTCACCTGCAGGGGTGGTGTGTTAAGCAACTCCAGGTATGTTTGTGATGAGGAAACAACATTATAACCTAGAAAACAGAAAACAGTGTAAGGAACAGATGTGCGACTACAGGAAGTATCATTGTCTCAGTTAAAAGGTCACGGAGGTCAAATTGTCAAACTATCCTCTGCGATCGCTGCTGTGATTGGCCGAAGGTGGGGTCACGACCTTTCAGGGGAGTTAAAAGCGCAACGTTAAATAGACGATTGTTTTGGGGTCAGCCTTGGGACACCCCTTCAGAACATCGTAACTTCAGGGAATATTGGTCTTGTTTTGAGTTAGAAATCCTTAAACCATGTGTTCAACTATCTTTTGGCAAATTTTTCCCCAAATCTAAATTAATTTCTTTATCAATCTGCCAGTGATCTGTTTCATTTTATTTATTATGATATGCAAATCAAATTAACTTAAAACCAGTAATGGAAGAAGTACTTGATTTTGTTATTTAAAAAGTACAGATATCAGGGCAATATATATATATATATATATATATATATATATATATATATATATATATATATATATATATTATATATATATATATATATATATATATTTTTTTTTTTTTTTTTCAAGTTGATTTTTTTTTTCATGTGATACCTTTACTAAAAGTATTAAAGTACCTGTTTAAAAATGTACTTACACTGGAAAAAAAACAAAAACAACTATATCTAGATAAGTTAAAATGACTTAAATTAAGAACATTTTACTTTATTTGAGGAGATTCAACTTGACAAGTAAAATTATCTACCAATGGAATAAGTATAATGTTTTTTTTTTTTAATTAAAGCTACATTCAATTTTGTGTTTTATTTTACATGCAAAAGGTTATTGTTTTTCTTGTTTTAAGTGTAGCAAGATGTATTCTCATATTTTAAGCACAAAAAGTCTTATTCCACTGGCAGATAGTTTTACTTGTCAAGAGAAATTTACTCAAATCATGATAAAACTTTCTTAATTCAAGCCATCTTAACTTGCCTAGATTTTGTTTTTTTGCAGTGTAAAAAGTAAAAGTATCTGATTTTTATCTTGATCTGATTAAAGCTTCAAATGTAGTAATTTTGATAAAGATTCGTGCTGAATTGTGTTCAGTAAAAACAATTGAATCGAGTTTTTTGTATACTCCAACGATGAACGTGTTAAAATAAGAAAAAAAAATGACTTCAGTCCTGTCCTAAAAAAGTAAAATATATCCAGTTTAAAATTTAAGTAATGTACAAATGACTACAATGAACACTTAAATACAGTACTACTTTTACTTTGTTACATTCCACCACTGCTTAAAACCCAAAGAATTTGCATAGCTTCCTACTTGGTGCTTATAGCCGTAGTTTTAGTGCCAAGGACATTGCAACCTTTGAAATTTGACAACTGTTGACATTCAGTTGGTCCAAAGAGAAGAAAAACAAACCACTAAGTAAATAAGTTGAGTTCAGCCAAATTACATTTTCAGTTTATCTTTCTGTTGAAATTCTCCATCACTGTAAACCAGGCCCATTTTGATCTATAAAATGTATTGATTTAGTTAAGAGTATAAAGAGTCTATTCTGTGTAAAAGTTAGTGCAAGAGATTGAATTTTTATCCATTTAAAGGGTCAATATTACACTATTTTCTGGTCTTTGTTATAATGTTTTCTCATCAGAATCATACCTGGAGTTGTGTTTTGTTTCATTCACACATGATTAACACACAAATCCTGCATATTTAGACTGAGGTTTTCTCTCAAACTAAGAACACAACGTTCCACCTTGTGATGTCATGTGGGAGTACAGGAAGTGCGTCATTGTGTTTTTAATCACCATACACCTTCACTAGAATCATTTGGATAATTTCAGGCCAGGAATTACCAGTCTTTACTAAAAAAAGGTAAAACTGTAAACTTAAACTACAGCTTCATGACATCACAAGGTGGAACAGAGTATTTTGAGTTTTGAAGATGTAGACAGACTCAAACGTGTATGAATGAAGCAAAACACAACTCCAGGTATGTTTTTGAGGAGGTAACAATATTATAACCAAGGGTGTTTTATGAATTCTTTCCAAAAACACACAGAGTCTGGGCAAGAGAGAGGTGGATTCATTTTTCAGTTAGAAAAATTTACAGTTTGTGCCCATTGTCCTTCTAAGATAATTCTTTACCAGATAACAGTGATGTAGAAGTTTGTAGCAGATTTCCCTTTGCTTGTTGGCGATGAGATATTTGTGAGGTAATGTCCGTACATTTTCCCATGGAATATTGTCAGTAGAGTCCGGCTGCTGACAGCTCACAAGTATGGCCGTTTGGGAGGTGTCCTTGTGGTGATAGTTGCTCTTTTCCCACCGCGACTCATTATGAGGCGAGTTTAATTGAAGATGAAGCCAAAATCCTTTTGAAAACTTTTTCAAAGTTTGGTGCAGTGTCCTCACTCACGCCTGCTCAAGCTGCCGTCTTCAGGTGCTGGCCCTGTCCTGCCGCTGCCCCAGTTTAGGCTCCTGGCATCACTAATGACATCACTCTGTTGCAGCCAGTGAAATAGTGGCGGGGGTAACCCTGTCGTCATATCACTGCATACATCTCAGAAGAAAATGAGATCTAAAATGTGTTAAATTAATACTCTTGAGTTTTGAAAAATATCGGAATATATATATATATATATATATATATATATATATATATATATATATATATATATTATTATATATTTTTTTTTTTTTTTTTTTTATTAAAATAAAATGGCAAATATTAGTATTTTGTCTTCCCCAAATATTTGTTGTGACATGTCCTCACCGTCCCCATGCAAACCTACACCCTTGTTCCTAACATGGCTTAAAGCTCACAAGAATACATTTTGCATAATACAAGGCCTTTTAAAGAAATGCCTTTTTACATGTAGTGACAGCATGATTTAGATACTAGGCTAGACTCTCGGTTGCTTGTCCACATATAATCAGATAACAGTTTGGGCTAATTCATTCACTGGGATTATACTGTGGTCTACTAGCCTACTAATCACATTCAACTGTAGAATTGGCCTTTAAACTATCAGCACGCAGACTTGGGTTATGGTTAATATCTCTGTAATTACTGGGCGTATCCACAAGAAAGAAAAACTGGCACAACGCTCAACATCTCCTCTGTCATCATATATGAACTGAGGTGGAATACTTTTTGTATTAAAGAGTTGTGGCATTATTTAAACTAACAGGCATAATTGTCAGATGATTTTAGACAATAATTAGGTCATATGTGGAACATTAACTCTTGAAAGCTTTTAGTCATGTTTTTAAGGAGATAACAACATTCTAACATAAGTGGAGTTGTGTTTTGTTTCATTCACACATGAATAATCCTTTTTTTATTCATCTCCATAGCTCAAAATGCTCCACCTTGTGATGGCATGAAGTGGTGCTTTTCACCGCATTTTACCTTTATTTCAGTAGAGATTCGTCATTCCAGGGCTGAAATCATCCAAATGATTCTAGTGAAAGTGTATGGAGTTTAAAAACACAAGGTAGAACAGGGTGTTTTGTGTGTGAAAGAAAAACTCAGCCTAAATATGCAGAAATGTGTATGAAACAAAACACAACTCCAGGTATATTTTTAATGAGGAAACAACATTAAAACAGTGATTAAATAATTGTGTAATACGGAGCCTTTAAAAGACTGAAACTTCCACAAGCTGAAACCATTCCTAGAGGTAGGACTTGCAAGTCGTGACTTGGACTCGAGTCAGACTTGAGTCACTATTTTTAGGACTTGAAACTTAAGCTGACAAAATGGACTAGGACTTGATACTCGACTTGGACTTGAGGCCTGTGACTTCAGAAGACTTGAGAAGCACTTTTAAATCTGAATTTGTTCTATTCTGTCTGTAACGATTCACTCTAAGATCTTGTCAAGACATTTAAAAAGGAAAAATGAGCATTTCTACAACTCTGATATAGTCTATAAATACTCATATATATAAACACATAAATATACTATGACTTTATAAGTACAATTTATCTTAAAAGTCACATAAATTGCAAAAATCTAAGCTATATTTGGTACTTTGGTTTAAAGACTTTATATGACTTGAAGCTCAAAGCAGACAACTTTGACTTGACTTGGACTTATGGGCCAGTGCCTCTAGACTCGACTTGGACTTGCCTGTCTTTGACTTGGGACTTGACTCGTACTTGAGGTCAAAGACTTGAGATTTACTTGACTTGGCAAAACGACGACTTGGTCCCACCTCTACGGTGGCCGACGGGGGCCAAAAGCACTGTAATAGCTCAATGCGTCTCATTTAGAGAAAACAATTTCAAGTACAGAAACGATGCAAATTCACAGGGTCAAACACAAGTTTAAACGAGGTACAAACAAAATACGTGGTGCAGATGAAAAAAACGCGCTGCAAGAAACAAAGACAAATGCATCATCATCAAATGCGCTGCAAATAGAGAAACGATGCAAAGCGCGAAACGATGAAAACCAAGAAAACACCTGCAAAAGAAAAACGCTGCATAAAGAGTCGCCACAACGGAAGTGCTCCAAACCTGCAGGGGGCGCTCAGTGTAACAGCTCAATGGAGAGACACACCGGCTGGACAGAGAGAAAGGATCTGCCTTTGAGAGACAGAAAACAGCTGACTGACGATAAACTACAGCGGGGACTTATGATTGTTACGGTAATGTGGCTTTTATTTGATTATATTCATCTACTGTGTTACGGTCATAACCCACAAAACTGTCAAATAAGTTTGTTTTAAACTGTGTTAACTGTGTGAACCTCGGAGCTTTGAGCTAAAAGTTTTAGCTACTGATTTGGAGCTAACGCGATGAAAAGTCCGCTCAAACTTTCATATTTGGACAGAAAGCGTCGTTGCCCTGCAAATAAGTGCCATTTCTGGGTCTTTGCCTGGAACGATGGACCAGGCTGAGAGAGACTTTAGTGCAGCGGTTTTCAATAGGTGAGGCTCGCCTCCCCTGGGAAGCGCCAAAGAGCCACTGGGAAGGCGTGACACACGCGGACTAAGGCTCGGACTAGACAAGGACTAAACCAGAACTGAATCAGGACTGAGTGTGGGTGACTGTGGGCAAAAGGACTGGCGCAGAGCTCCACGCCCCACGGCGCTAAAGCAGCTGTCGTCTGATCGTGCTTTGCGGACACCTCCATGGGCTTGCGGTTTCTCTCTCTCTCTCAAGTCCAAGATTAGACCTGGTCTAGTCCGGGCCTTCACAGTCAATAATTAATGAAATATTTTTGGCAAATAATAATATCAGAGGTAGTTGACGTATTCTGAAGGGATCCTTGATTGGTGACTGTAAGGATTTTTTTTCTTTTTTGACTATTACTTAAACACAATACATCCAAGCAAGTACAGTAGTAAACTACTACTAACAGAGAAAACGGTAAAGAGAAAACTATTTGAAATATTTCATATTCATTTTCTTTTCTCATTTGCAGACTCCTGTATGAAGACACAACTTACTGCTGGGGCCACAGAACTGTTGGCTGATGAGACACTCATGATTCATGAAATGGGTCAAATGCAGATGACAAAGTAAAGCCCACACTGCACTGGAGGTGCTGAACCAGACTCCTGCCACAGATTAGGTATGGTGCATGTTGCATTGAAAACTCCAGTATTAATAAGGGCTGCAAATGAATCATGCTCATGTTGAAATCATGATTCAAAAGAGTAAAAATACGCATTTCTCAAATGTGTGGGATTCTTCTATTAACTTAGCTGTTTCAATTTATATATTTTCCTGTAATCATTTTGTAGTTTTCCTAATGTGTGTGTCATTACTGGTTTTCACTCTGCAGGACCTGACTTTGAACCTATCAGACATAAGGCCCATTCTGCTCTTCCTCCTCCAGAAGACGAGAGATACATTAGACTGAGTGGCCCAAGTACAATGGTTCATGCCTTCACTGTCCATGTCCACACTCACTGAGGAGGAGGTCGTCCAGACTGCAGCAGATCTGTAGGGCCTCTGGTTGCATCAGGCCTTCCTCCTGCTGTCTCTAATGTGTGTTAATAATGATGTGTCCTTAAAGTTTAGGTTTAACTTCTAATTTCTTGCACAAGTAAAACAGTAAAAATGGTGGTTCCTTTTCATCTTAGCTGAGGAGCACCTAAACAACTTCATCACTGAGGCAGTGTACCATGATAAATGTGGCCTTATATGATATTACCAAGTGTGTGAGACAAAACTGAAAACATATCATTTACTCATAAGTTTTTCTGGATGTTTTTCGTCTATACTGACATTTTGTTTCATGGTGAAATGTGCCGTTTATTTAGTGTCTCTTTTGGTAGTAACTGATTACATGCACTATAAGAATTTACTATTGTACTGCAGTTATGCAGATAATTTGTCCATTTTGAATTATCACCTGGTTCAGTAAAAAGGTAACAATTTGAGAGTACACTGACATACAGTTGTTTGTACAAACCTATTAATGCAGTGTGTGCGTAATGGGTTTAATGTTCGACTATTCACATTATGACAAACTATTTCCAGAAGTTCCTATGATTGTTTAATAAATCATCTTTTCTCAAAGGAGAGATGTCTTTTTTAATAAACCGACGTAAATGCATGCCCGGTATAAATGTAATCCCTTATCAATAGAAAACAGACTTCATAATGCATATCCCATCACAGTTTTTTGAAACTTTAAGGTCATTTAGTCTATTTTAGATGTATTCCAGAAATAAAGCCATTTTGTTTATGCAAAAGTTAAACATAAGTTTTCGCTTTTAACCATAAGATTTGGATGAGAATTATTAGAATAACTTGATCTCCTACAGTTTGAGTACCCATGCGTAATGTTTTTACCGATTCGTGTACGTAATTTGCGTGGTGCCTGTTGTTAGCATTAGCGTTAGCATCTAATAAAATAACTACACCTGTCTCATTTCAGCACGGCCTTTGGGGTCCGCGGACACTGCTACTGAGCGCGCCCCCTGCAGGTTTGGAGCACTTCCGTTGTGGCGACTCTTTATGCAGCGTTTTTCTTTTGCAGGTGTTTTCTTGGTTTTCATCGTTTTGCATCGTTTCTCTATTTGCAGCGCATTTGATGACGATGCATTTGTCTTTGTTTCTTGCAGCGCGTTTTTTTCATCTGTACCACGTATTTTGTTTGTACCTCGTTTAAACTTGTGTTTGACCCTGTGAATTTGCATCGTTTCTGTACTTGAAATTGTTTTCTCTAAATGAGACGCATTGAGCTGTTGCAGTGCGTTTGGCCCCCGTCGGCCACCGTACACCTCTGACCATTACATTAAACTTTATAATATTGTGACCCTACGTGTAACCAAAACAAATACAGATGTTCATAGTAAGGAAGTAAAATTAGTCATAGGAAAACTGACTGACTGTTGCAATTTGCCCCCGAAGGGTATTTCCCTTACTACTTCTTCTGTCCTCTAGTTCACACCTCCATTTTGGTCCAAGGACACAGTAACCTTTGAGATTTGACAACTGTTGACATAACATTCTGGTCTGTTGCCAAGGAAAACACACAGATAAGTGCGTGTTTCGACCCAAAATGGATGAATCTATAAAAAAAATCGTGAAGAGTGGACTGTGTAAACTTTTAGCGGTGTTGTTTGCAGTTGGGAGAGGACATTTTGCCCCGAGTTAGGTCTCCCAGGGTGCACAGATCTCTGGGTGGTTCTTGGTTTGGGCCCTAGACCAATATACTGCACTCTGTCTCCAAGCGGATTTGTTTTCATTTCTTCTTTCCCTCTTGACTTTAACACGGTTTACCACAACCATAGCCTTCAGGATGACCCTAAAACCATTTCTGAAAACAGTGGAGCAAATGAAATAAAACATGGGCGACTGTTGTAACCTATAGTGTGGTATGTGTGTGTGCAGAAATGTAAGTATTTTTGAGGTAATGCCACAGGCTGGTGTAAAAGAGATGTGATTTCAGAGTTTGGAATGAACTTTTAAACCTGAATTTGAAGTAATTATTTGGTGAAAAAGCAAAAGTAGCCATTGCAGTGGTGAAAGATTATCTTAAAGACTGTAATTGAGTGAAAAATACTATCACTGCCCTATCATTTAGTTTCTTATCTCATAGCAAGAAGGTCTCTGGTTCTATTCCTGAATGAGGCCTTTATGCAGTAAAAGGCCCATATTTCCACTTTTTTCCCCAAATCTACAGTATGTTATAATGTTTTCAGTGCTTCAAAAACATACCTGGAGCTGTGTTTTGTTTAACGCACAAACCCTGCATACTTAAAGTTATTCTCAAACGGGTAACTCCATACACTAGAATCATTTGAATGATTTCAGGCCTAAAATTTCCAATCGCTTCTAAACGTGTTAACATGAAAACCACCATGGCAAAGAAGAAATTCAATTTGTCAACTGCACAAAAATGTATACTGGTCAAATACGTTTCACTACTCATCCAGTCTTCAAGTTCTGACTGAAAAAGCAGCTTGGATGAGCTGTAAAACGTATTTGACCTATATAAACTTTTGTCCAGTTAATAAATTTTATTTCTCCTTTTGCCATGGATTCTACCTGGACGACTTAGGGATTTTACACACATGAAAACTACCACTACATGACATCATAAGTTGGAACAGAGCATTTTGAGCTGTGGAGATGTAGACAGACTAATAATAAAGGTTACTGAAATATGCGTAAATGAACCAAAACACAATTCAAGGCATGTTTTTGATGAGATCATGACATTATAATATGACTCAAAGCTTTATAATAGTTTACAGTACAAGTTTGTGTAATATAGGAACATGCACATGTACGTTCGCATGACCAATACCCAATACTCTACCAATAATGTCACAAATATTTCTGTTAATGTGTACCAAAGGTGTGATGTAACCTTTCTGTCAGACCTGGAATCACCTGGAATTTCCCAGAGTATGGCATTAACCTAGTACACCTTGCATCTGTTCAAGACGTTTTATACATGCATTCTACAGTGAGTGAACGCATGTCTCTCCACAGATCTGATCTGTAGGTTTAGTCTAGTGACACCTGCTTGTCTCCATGCTGATAGCTGCGTTCTGACAGGGCCGGTCCTGCAGATGATCCACTGTCTAAACACAGGGCAGACTCAAAATCTCCAAGATCTCCAATGACAGATGGACTTAAGATGCAACTGCAGAGGTGAGACAGACTCAGACAGAATGATGCAATACTTAATTTATTTATTTTTTAATCTTAAGAATAAAACTACAATATCTAGTTTTAGTTTTTCTTTCTTTCTTTTCTTTTTTTTTTCTTTTCTTTTTTTTTTTTTTTTGGATGAGTCACTGAACCACATTAAGCAATAAATATTCTCAGCCAGTCATGAAATCAACTCTATTTTTGGTCAAGTCTGGTCATTTAGTAACCCAGTTAAAGTGTTAACCATTGACTCAAAACTACTGTGTATTTACTGTCAAGCAGTAGTAGTTTCGCCAAGTATGTTTTTACTCAGGCTTGAGCAATCGCCAAGCCCTCTACTTCATACTTGCACTTGTAGTAACAGTTTTACTTAAGTGCCTATGATGGGTTACACTTCAAATTTTACTAAAACACATTTAAAAACATGATATTTAAGATTTAAATATTTTTTCTTTTGTGGTTCCTAGCTAAGTTAACATTGCTTAACTTAAGGTTTTATCTTGATTTGAGTAAATTTCACTTGACAAGTAAAATTATCTACCGATGGAAGAAGACGTTTTGTTCTTCAAATAAGAAAATACATCTTGCTACAACAACAACTTTTAAAATGCACTTAAAATGAGAAACAAAATCTTGTGTTCCATTGGTAGATTATTTTACTTGTCAAGTTGAATCTATTCAAAAATTAGAAAACTCAAAATTTAGGTACTTTTTAACTTTAATATTACTTTTTACAATGTACGGAATGCACACAAGATCAAAGCGCTACTAATGTACACAGAAATTATGAATTGACAAATATAAATATAAGAAAACACATTTATCTTGTTGAAATGTTTAAAGTATCAGAAAAAATGTGTTTCTTTTGTGTAAATTGTGCACTTTTGGACAAAACTCTCCCTTTTAAAACGCTCTACTTCTTGTAATTTTCAACATATTTTTCAACTTTTCTCCTCAAATTGTTTCTTGATTTGTGTAAAACTATATTTATACTCACAAAAGGTTTCATCCCACCAAAATAAGTCAAAATTAGAGAATCATCAAAACCTGTCACACGCATTTTGAGCACATTTTTGGATATTCACTACCCTCTCTTTGGATAGAAAACAGGAATTTCTGGGTCCAATCACATTTTTCCTTCTAGCTTGTCCCAAAGACTAACAATACCAATCAAAACAAAACAATCTCCGAAAGTTAAACTGAATTTGACAGGCCTATGTGAAAGGGTGTGCCCACAACGTCAAGTGAATAAACAACAAGCAGCATAACATTGGAGTCTGTGTCCTTGGCTTGCTGGGTTTGTGATGATAGATGAAGCATAGTTTTCTTCTCACCAAACTCACAATCGATGATATATGGGTGAGTTTGACCGCGGCATCCAGTGGTTGTTTTTGGTTACACCCTTGAACAATAAGACTGCGCTGCCTCCTCCCCACTTTACACAGGGAGCACGTTCACCAAACCCCAACCACAGCACAGAGTTTAAGATTTTCTAATTATAACTTGGGTTGGTGGGGTAGTACCGGTGGTAAATATTTATCGTAGTTTTACATCAGTTAAGTGGCAGTTTGAGAAAAAAAAAAGTTGCAAAATACAGGAAGGAGCAGTGAGTTCTAAAACAGGACACCTCTGTCTATGTCATAAACACAAAATATTTCACCGAAAAGGTAGGGATGATTTAAGCGCAAGAAAGGAAGTCTGTCAGTTTAAACCTTCATTTAACAGAGTTGTTGTCATTTATTTATTAGTCTAATGATAACTAATGTGCCATTTAGACAAGTTTTGGCCCCTGTTACAGAAGACATATTGTTTAAACTGCTAAATAGCTTGCTGTTTAGTTATAATTTATGACTCCTGTGGATCATTATGCTTTAATTTAGACATTTTAAATCACAATATTTATCTGAAATGACTTAATAAAAGAAACAAGTTTGTGTTAGAAAACTGTGGTGCCTAATGTGAGCTAACATCACAGCAAATGTCATCACAACAAAGAGCTGTGTAGTTGTCTGCACCAGATAGCTGCAGAACATGCTGCTGAGTAGGGATTTTTTCATTTGTATCAAAATGACTGTGCAATGCTGCTGGATCCTACGCATTAGCCAGTTTGGCGCCCCCTAGTGCCTCCGCTCAATTTCATTTCTCTCATTTCATTTCACGACTAGGTCAGGAATCAGAATACACTAGACGGTTTGCAAGAACCCCGGAATTTATAGACCGCGACTGGGTCCCCTTTGTAGTACAGCACAACAGTAAACAAAGCAGTGAAGATGGATGTCGATGAAGCCATACATTCTATGTTGGCAACAATTCCCGAGATCGAGGATTTAAAGCTGATGAGATAAAGAGATGTCTGGTAAATTTTATCAAGAGGAAAGACATTATTGCCCTTCTTCCTATGGGATTTGGTGCATTACATACGTCACAACCAAATAGCAGCGACTACTGCCTGCCGCTGAGCAATCGAATCCTAATGCTGCGAGGTCAGACGGTTTCCATGAAGTGAAACCGGCTGATGAATCAGGCTACCCATGTGTATCACTGATTCAGAAAATAAAATTGCAGAACAAATTAAGTACAGTGAGTCTATGCTGATGAAAATTAGCAATTAAAGATTGCTCAAACATGAATAAATCACTCCAAATACAACTTTGAGAGAGTAAATGAGAAGGCAAAACTACTATGACATGATTAAAAGCTCTGAAAAGTGGTGTGAAGATATCACAGTGAAATTGGCAGACTAACCTGTCATGTGAACATAAAGGGGAGTGCATCCTCCTCACTTTCACTGCAGCCACATTGCAGAGTGGGTTTACTCACACAGAGATGGGTTACAGATGTGTGGGGAGGTTTTATAGGGCTCTACTTAAGTGTTAGTCAGCAACAATAAGAAGCCAACAAGTGCATAACAACTAAATAAAGTAAAGATGGCTCAAGAGAGAAGAGGGTGAAAAACAACATCTTTCTTGTAAATATAGGTTTGCACTGCACCACATTTCTTTTGCAAGGACCATGCCACAGCAAGTAGATTACAAATATGAACTAAAGGCACACTGTAACTTTTCTGGTGGAGAGTCGAAAGAGCTCATAT